TTCATCGACAGCCTCAGGAAGCGTGACGGCACCTTGACAGAGCAGCTGGGTCTGACTGCTGAGTTGGGTGAGAGATGCAGAGCTGTGGTCAGCCCCCAGCCATGCTGGGGCTCCCGGTGCTGCCAGTGGGGTGCTGGAGGGTGGCCTGGCCCTGGCAAATGTCTGAGGCCTGAAGGCAAGAGGCAGTTGGGTGTCCCTGGCATCACTGCTCTGTGTCACTAAGTCCCCCTTGTCATGCAGTGACGACAGTGCTCTCAGGGGTGGCTGTCCCCTGTGGGTCTGAACAGGGACCACCAAGGGTCAGATCCCAGCTCTACTCGTCTGTCCATGCCCTGCAACAATCCCCTCTTGCTGCAGGCTCTTCCCAGTTGTCCTGGTTTCAGCTGGGATAGAGTTCATTTTCTCCCTAGTAGCTAGCATAGTGCTGTGTTTTGGATTTAGTATGAGAAAATGCTTATAACACACTGATGTTTTAGTTATTGCTAAGTACTGCTTATGCTAGTCAAGGACTTTTCAGCTTCCCATGCTCTGCCAGGTGTACGAGAAGCTGGGAGGGGGCAGACAGGACAGCTGACCCAAACTGGCCAAAGGGATATTCCATATGATGTGACATCATGCTCAGTATATAAACTGGGGGGAGCTGGCCAGGAGGCAGCAATTGCTGCTTGAGGACAGGCTGGGCATCGGTCGGTGGGTGGTGAGTGGTTGCCTCACTTGTTTTTCCTGGGTTTTGTTTCTCTCTCTCTCTTGTTCTCCTTTTCATTACAAATTATTATTATTTTATTTAATTTCAATTATTGAACTGTTCTTATCTCAACCCACGAGTTCTCTTACTTTGTCCGATTGTCTCATCCATCCTACTGGGGGCGGGGAGGGTGAGCAAGCGGATGTGTGGTGCTTGGTTGCCAACTGGGGCTAAGCCACACCACCAATGTAACTGTGGGGCTTTCTGCTTGCAGGGTCCCCTGGTGCACAGCTGGCCTCCCCTGGGCTCCCCATCAGCACCCAGGGCCAGCATTGGATCCAGCAGTGCTCCCTGAGCGAGTACCAGCGCATCAGGGACACAGAGGGAGACCAGGTGCTGTGGGCAGAGGAGATGAGAGGAGGGTTGGAGCATGGCCCAGCTGCACCGCCAGTGCAGGCAGGGGCTTGGCTGAGGGGAGCCAGGGAGCAGGTCCTTCGCTGACCCAGGAGCAGGGCAGGAGATGTGGGGAGATGCCCTAGGGACAGGAAGATGTGGTTGCTGCACCTGTGGGCCTTCTCTGCTATTAGCTGTCTCCCATGCTGACCACTGCCTCCCTCCATCCTCACAGATCTATCGTATCCATCTACCACGGGAAACGCGAACCCGTAGGGCCCTGCTCATCTGCAACATTGAGTTTGAGTGCTTGAAACGGCGGGATGGGGCTGAAGTGGACGTGGAGGGGATGACAAAGCTGCTGGAAGGGCTGGGCTATGTGGTGGATGTCCATCGCAACTTAACTTCCGAGGTAAAGGACGACGCAAAGCAGCTGCCACCGGCCCCGGGAGTGGCACTGAGACCTTCCTTGTGTGCACTGGTGATGGGGGGCTCAGGCACCACAGGGACACCTCTGTCCCCAGTGGCAGTGGCTCCTGCTCACAGCTGGTGGCTGGGTTTCCACACAGCTGGTCATAGGTGGCTGATGTTCCTTCCTTGTGCTGGTTTGTAGGGGATGGCTACGGTCATGAAGGATTTTGCGGATCTCAAAGAGCACTGGGCCTCTGACAGCACCTTCCTGGTCTTCATGTCCCACGGGTTCAGGGGTGGGATCTGTGGGACCAAGAGCAGAGATGAGACCACAGACATCCTTGCCCTCGACACCATCTACAAGAAATTCAACAACAAGCACTGCCAGGCACTGCTGGGCAAACCCAAGGTGGTCATTATCCAGTCCTGCCGTGGAGGTGAGTCCCTGCTACAAGGTGCCTGCAAGGCGAGTGAGCCGGACAGGGTTTCCCAGGGCATGTGAGCCTGGAGCATGAGGTAGGGACAGGACACCCCATCATCGCTGATGGCTGGCCCTGCCTTCCTAGGCAACATAGGGTCCGTGATGGTGAACGACTCTGCAGACCCTGCCATTCCCACTCCCAGCTCGGCTCACACAATCCCTGCAGGGCTGGAAAATGACGCAATCTTTGAAGTCCACCTGGAGAGTGATTTTGCCACTTTACATTCCTGCACGCCTGGTAAGCAGTTCCTGGAGATAGTTGCCCTGCCTGAGGGCAGGCGAGGGCAACAGGACTCCCATTCCTGATGCCATGGGTCTCCTCCACACCTCCTCCTCCTTGGGGTGGGTTGCCAGGGGTCCCCTCCATCTGATGACTGCTTGGGCATTGCTCCAACAGCCTCTGGAGAAGGCAGTGTCCCCCGATGCCAGGGTACAGGGCTGCTCCAGGACACCCACAGATCCCTCTAAGCGGCACCAGGGCCAGAGCTTTATGCCCCTGCCTTCCCTTGTCCTGGCTCCAGCCCACCCCACTGGCTCTGCCTGCCCTCCTTCCCCAGCCAATTTATCTCACCACAGTGGCTGGCCGGAGGAAATTGTCTTCCCCTGTTGGGTCACAGATGGCTCCAAGCCATGCCAGACTAGCAGCTGGCATGGCTGGGAGCATGGGAGAGCAGAGAGGCTTGAAGAAAGTATTCACGTCACTTCTGTCTTCCCTGGGATGCTCTGTCCGTTTCCTATGCTGTGGGTTGGATGGGCCAAATACAGTGATCTCAGAGAAGGTGCCCCAGTCTCTTGCTCCAGCACCCAGTGTTAATCACTGTTGCAGTGAGGGACACCAGTGAAATCACACTTGGCATCTTCTGTGTCCCCAGATACTGTCTCCTGGAGAAACTCAGTAACAGGCTCCCTTTTCATCCAGCGCCTGATAGAGCAGTTTCGAAACCATGCCTGTAACAGCGACTTACAGGAAATCTTCCGAAAGGTGAGGCTTTGTAGTTAACTGCAGGTGTGTCAGCAGATGCAGCCATGCCAATGGTCAGAAATACTGCTCAGAGCAGAGCTTGGGCCAGGGCAGGCCATTTCTCGGCAGGCCCCTTGGGAGCAGGCTCTGTCAAAAAAGGGTCTGATCTGGCTTGGAAAGTCAGCTGGATCTCTGGGGGCATCAGCACCCTGCCACGTGGTGGGCACGCAAGCGCCCAACATGTTGGCACAGCCCATGGCATCCCTTGTGCCACCAGACACATGCCTGGGAATGCCTCCTGACTTCCTGCACCCTTCCCATGCTGGGAACGGAGCTGCTCTCATTTCTCCCTGCTGTCTCTCTCACCTCAGGTCCAATATTCCTTTGGAAATTTCCCTCAGCAGTTGCCAGCACAAGAACGGACGACGATGCTCAGGAAGTTCTACCTTTTCCCAGGCCACTGATCTCCTGCCCACGGTGAGTCTCTTCACCTCACACCTTTGCAGCAGCCTTTTGTCTGTGCCCCAAACCCAGTACCCGGTCAGCAAGGAGGAGCGGGGAGAAATTCCCCATTGCTCCTGGGCTCCAGACCTCATGGCTTGGACAGGATATCCAAAGGACTTGTGTGCTGGTAGCCGTGGCTGGGCAGTGGCCTGACTCCATTCCCATCTCCCAGCTGGCTGTAGGAGAGACGGGTGCTCAAGGAACTCATTTCAGTAGCCCATGTCTCAGGAGCTTCTCTGCCTAATGTTCTTCACAGGTGAAAAAATAATACATGGACAGCAAAAAGTGTTTGAATTCGGGGGTAACACAGGAGAAAGCTCAAGCTCAAGGCGAACGCAGCCCTACTCCAGAGAGATGCAATTCTTCAGAAAAGACGAAAAGCCAAGAACAGCTCTGCAGAAACACAGTGAATCTCCAAACCAGCTCCTTGTGCCCCCTCTGCTAGACAATTACAAACAGACCTGGAATAAAATAGTCCTTGGTGTCCTGTCCTCCATTCCTTTTGTGACCTCCAAACAACCCCAAACTGAGCAAACTGCCCAGGGAGCAGCAGAGACACCTGGCTCTGGAGTATCAAATGCAAAGCTAGTTAGTGTCTCTCTTAACTGTCCCCAGAGCCTGTCCCCAGTTGCGATAGAGATGATCCGTCACCCCCAGAGCCACTTCTGCCCCGTCTCTGGCTTTACCTGTTGTCTAGTGAAGGGTTTTTCACAGCAGACGACACCGCTCCTCTGCCTTTAGCCCGTGGTGGGTGGATGGTTGTTACGGCTGGCAGTAGCTGCTGTTAGGTTGCCTTCTCGGGGGATGCTGAGTAGGCGGGAGGCGAGAAATTGGAGGGAGCTCAGGGAGGAGGAGATGCCCACCTTCAGGGCGCTCCAGGAGGATTTCAATGCCTCCCCCTTGCAGGCTTGCAGCATGTCCTTGCTCAGGAGGTAGCTTCCCCTATGCCCCAGTCCTCCCACTGCCCCTGAGGTGGAGGAAGGATGCAATTCCCTCTGGGAGCCAAGAAAGATCCTCAAACCTGTGTCTTACATGCACTGCTCCCACAGCTCAGCGCATCAAGGGCCCAGCCCAGTTGTCACCTCCACCAGCATGCCCACTGGTAAGCAAGACCGCCTTCCTGTGCCCACCACTGCCCTCCCTGTTCTCCTCAGCCATATCCAAACCATTTTCTGCCTTGACATGGATTCAGCTTTATTGCATGTTCTGCAAAGTCGCAGCCAGATCCACAACCAGGTGGTCTAGCAGCAGGAAAACAAGAGGGCTCTCCTGCCCCCTGCTAGCGTCTGAGACACTCCAGTGCAGGCAGGACAGGCTGGGCAGGAAGGGCAGTGTCCTGGGCTGGTGCCACCCTGTGTCCCTGGGAGGTGGCAGGAAAAAGTGGGATGGAGGTGCCTTTCCACTCCAGCTCCAGGCGACCTAGGGTAGGAGAAGGCCTTGCACACAGGATCAGACTGCAAAGTGGGCAGCCGGTCCAGGCCGAGCCCGTTCTCACAGAGCTCCACGTCACTGCCCAGAGCAACTCTGGTCCCACGTGGTGCTTGCAGAAACCCTGGTCCCCGGCGCTATGGTGGTGGCAGGAAATTGAGGACAGCAGTGACGAATTCTTCAAATTTATCCTGATGGACTATGTGGCCTGCACCTGCGATGTGCTGGATATCCGCCTTGGGGAAGAGGCGCTGGATCTCCGGGTAGTCTTTGGAGCTGCAGGACAAGGGAACATGCCATGGGAAGTGTGGTCAGAGGTCCAGCCACGTGCCTTCCCTCACCCTCCCTAGGCAGAGGGGGATCCCAGGGCTGACCACATCCCCTTCCCTGCTGGGAAAGCCCAGGGCTGCCCCCAGATTCCCCCTTGCTCTCCAGCGCCTTGGTGTCACTGGCTGCTGGAGGCACAGAGCTTGTTCCAGCATGTTCCCCATCTCAGGGGCTTCCTCCCACCCTGGAAAACTGCAGAAGAAGAGCACAGGGGGTCAAACCACAGACTATGAACTGCTTCTCTCCAGCCCCACCTGATATAGGGTGAGTTGGATCCTCCTAAGAAGAGTGCAGGGCCATGATATGGCTTGTGGAAGACGGGGAAGTTCATGACATCTGCCAAGTGGTGGGAAATAGCCTCCAGGTTCACCCGCCAGACATAGCGGCCCTCCACCTCCACCAGATTGGTGAGGAGGAACTGTCTCATCTGTGGAAGCTGCCACAAAAGGGGATTGTACACTCTTCAGTAAGAGCAACAAGCCCTCAAGATGTCCTGGCACCCACCATCCTCCCCTCCACCCCCTTCTGCCCATCTCCCATGCTGTCACATTCCCCATTGCCCCTGCAGCCCTGGTGAGATGTCCTCCAGCGGTGAGTGAGGAGGGGTGGAAAGAGTCCCACTGCACCATGGCCCTAAAGCCCTGTGCTCTGCTCCCAGGGACAGGCTGGGAGCAGAAACCCCATCCCAGGAGTGGGATTTCCTACCTGGACCACTGGACGCAGCTGATCGTCAGCCAGCTGGCGGGCCACAGAGCGGGGCAGGCCATCTGGGATCTTCACCGACTTCATGGCAGAGATGTAGGCAGAGAATTCAGAGACAGGCGCAGTTGAGACAGGACTAATGTCTACAGAGATGAGGCGCTCCACCAGGTCTGGCTGGGGACACAAGCAGGGCAGACGGATGGCAACCAAGGTCTCCCCAGTGGGACTGGGCACAAGGCTCCGCTCCCAGACACCCTGGAGGCTTTGAGCTCCCTCTTGCCTCAGCAGAGAGCTCCACATGCCCTTCCCCGAGTCCCCGTGCCTTGGCACAGGAGATCTCCAAGCTCCCTTCCAATTGGTGCCAGAGGGACAGGGCAGCGCGTGGGCTGGCAGGCAGAGACATGCTCTTGCTCCTGCTCCTGCTCCCGCAGCCTGGCTTACAGCTCTGAGCGGGACAGCACCCCCGACCGTGATGGAGAAAAGCCACCCGCTGTGGGGCTGTGGCCAAGGCGGGCACTGGCGAACAG